TGTTCTCTGCTGATCTGTCAAAGATAGTGCACTTTGAATTGTTGCAGGTATGACATATCTATTGGTAGTATATAGTGTAGTTTAGATACCACGAATTGTGTTCTAGGTGTGTGTGGGCCACAATTTACAGCTGGTAGCCATTTTGTGGTGGCTGACATGTAATTCATACACCATTTTATTAACCTGTGGCAATTATTTTATGTCAGTAAGTACTACCTCTTTGATATGTAGACTATTTGTTTATGATTTCACACCTTTAAGGCAACAACAACAGTAATGCAATGGAGTTAGAGGGAGCCAAGCGATGTTTTGCATTTATGAGGAAATGTGGCTTAAGTGTTAGTGTTTTTATATCTGATCGGCATCGTGGTATCGCCAAGTGGATTAGGTGTCACCAGAAGAAGACACAACATTTCTTTGCTATATGGCATATTGCCAAGTCAAACATAAAAAAGTCCTAAAAGCCAGCAAAGAAAAGGGTGAAGTATTGCAAAAATGGACAAAAGGAATCAAAACACACCTTTATTGGTGTGCTACATCAACAAAGCCAGGTTTTGGTGAAATGAATGTGGCAAAGTGGAAACCTTTCATGCACCATGTCTGCAATATACATGATGACCATCCTGATAAATTATATAAGAAATGTGCCCAAGAAGAACTAGAGAAGAGGAAATGGCTCAAACACTGTAAGTTGATTCCAAATTACAATTATCGCATATGCTCTTTATTAACCCATTAAGTGCCAGCACTTTCCACATGACGAGTAAAATCGTCTGGCATTAGACAGAGTAAATACTAAAGATAGGGCGCATCAGGGCACAATGCCGTTTAATGGGTTAATATGACAGCTAACACAATCATTGAGGACAAGCTGACAAGGTAGGTCCAACCAATGTGAATGTTTGCATTGTAAACATAGCAATATATTGGCCTGAGAACATAACTTACTTGAAGCTCTTTAGAATTTGACCTCTACACTCAATATTGAACATTGTCATTTATAGGTAGTAAACCATATGAAAAACTTAATGGCATCATCAAGAAGAAAACATACATCAATGATGTCAGAAAGATGTCCTCTGAAGCTCAAACTAGTTGCCTGGAAGGGTTCCATGCAACCCTTAATCATTGGCACCCCAAGATGCTGAGCTTCTCCTGGATAGGGACATATTGCAGGTACAATAAAATTAGAAATCATTTGAAATATCAGACACTGGGGAATATGGAAGACAATCATCATTACTTTGAAATGCAACCAGAAGTTTTTCCTTTTATCATTATAGGCACATTTTAGCATGCATGCATTTCAATGAAAATGTAAGTAGGAAGTCCAGAACAAAAAAAAATGGTGAAGTTTACATGAAAGTTACCTACCCAAAATACAAGTTTGGAGAGGAGCTGGTTCGTGAAGTTGCCACTTTACCAACATATGGTAAGTTATAATATCTTGTTTTCCAGCTTCAGGACAGGAAATGGAATATTCATTTAGGCAAAGAGAAATGTAGGCTGGCTTTTGAAAGAAATGCTAGATTAGCCATTCTCAAATTACAATATCACCTTGCTTTAGGATATGTATGTGAAATGAAAAAGCTTTTAGTTACCATGTCCAAGGCTGAAATGAAAAAGGTCTATCAAAAACAAAAACAGAAAGAACCAGATCCTCTTACAGCACAATTTAGTGATGGTCTCTCAAGAGAAGATGCCATTAAGAGACAAATTGAAAGACAGAAGAAAACTGTGAAATTAGTTCCATCAGGTGCAGTATATTTTATATCAGTGACACCTAAAAAAATACAACCCCTCCTCCTTTTCACTTTCATGTCTGAAAAACAACCAAGGACTAAAGCAATCATCTTTTAATTGTTTACAGTTGAACAAGATAAATTACTGGCACAACAGAAAGAAATAATGGCATCAAATCAAAACAAACAACCAAGACGAAAACCACAATGTAAAAAATGTGGTAAGCACATGAAGGGCCATTCAGCAACAGAGTGTGTAAGACTGTAACAAACAATATCATTAATTTGTACAAATGTTTCTACAAAAATGCTTATCTGCAATAAATTGAGACTGAAAAATGCTGCAAATATTGCTATGTATATACACTGGTATAGCCAGCACAATATATCTAGGAGAAAATGCCAATTTTATAGCATTATTCATTTCTTTAGAAATTTATTGTTTTTACAGTCAATGAATGCAACAGAATTTGCATTGCTACCCCAGACATATCAGGATGGCTATGCCAGTGGGCTATATTACTTTATTCCATCAAGTGAACATACTGTGACAAAATGTAATGGAAAGTTTTTTTGTAATACTGATATTTAATGTTCATTCTCTTTGCTGTGCACTCATAAATCCCTTTGTTTCTGTGCTTGAATATTGCTTCCTTGTATGCATATATATACATGCAGGAAGAGGCCTTTAACCTCACCGCAGACCGCACGGGCGTGCGCTGAGTAACCTGTCTCGTTATAAACAATAACAATGCAGAAAAATCGATATTTTTTTAGTTTTTCTGCCCATCCTGACTTAAAAACTATCAGAAAAGATAACTAAAGCATTTACAGTTTATATATAACAGTTAAAAGATGACAGGATAAAAAATAACAAAGAAAATAACGAAATTCCAAAGACGAGTTATATTTCCGGTCGTCATCACTTTGTAATTTGATATCGATATGATTTTGCCAGCTGCACTGCGGTGTCAGGTTAACAGAAATATATATTAATTTCCGAATTAAACTTCGGACTCTAACGTCCGAAATTATTAGGCAACCTCGTACCCAGGGTCTTCTGTGTTCACAGGGCGCGGAACTACGCGACGAAGACCCTGGTCGGGGCTGATGACGTCACCCCCAGATTTTGGGGGTAAACGTACAATTTTACCATGGGTCGGGAGCATTCTCGTACCCAGAGCCCTTCCTACGCGTGGTCTCTGTAGGGCGCGACGAGGGGCTCTGGCGAAATCCAAATCAATCCGGCTTCTGATTTGTCGCCAAAATTCTAATACCGAAAGTGAATAAGCGGACGAAAATAGCATCCGCTAATTAATAATTTGAAATATTGACAGGTTCATATATTCAAATAGCTGTAATATAACTAATATTATTACACTTTTGTGAAATGGCAGAAGACACACCGAAAAAGCCAGTTCACAATTTGAGTTCACATGTAGGTCGTTGTTGCGGCGTTAATGCAAGTCATAGAATTTATCTTTTCGGCGACAAATCTAAAGAAGATGGGATTTTAAAAGCAATCGAAGAGTTAACGAGGAAACGTATATCTAAAAAGGATGAACTTTCCAAGTACGTTTGCCGTCCTTGCTCTCGAAAAAGGAATTGACAATCAAGAAAAAAGTTAATGAGTTTATAACACAATACAACCATTCAGAAAACATGCAGAAAAACATGTCAAAATCAGAGCGCTTTAAAAGAGGACGAAAAAATGATGGTTGTTTGGACAATTCGAAGTTGCCGAACCAAAACGCAAAAAGGCCTAGAATAAATATAGCAGCTGTGTTTCAACGACCCCTCAGTGATATTCACAGTAGAGCAACTGGTTTACAATGCAAAGAAAGTGAATGTCCTACTTCTGGTGTGCCACAACAAATACCAAGCAGTCCGATTTGTGAGTCACCTAGGCGTTATCGGCGAGTGTTAGCTGCCAGATTTCAACAAATTGCACCAAAACCAAGCAAAACTATTCCGTCAAGTAATAGCGTGGAAATGTTGAACATTTTGCCAAATGTACCGACATCCAACAGGACGATGGGAAAAGCCAAAAGAACTTTACCGTCTTACTTTAGTATGCAAAAGGAACAATCAAAAAAGAAAGGAGACGAAGCCTTAGAAATTGTGAATACATTTGGCTTGCAAAATTTTAAGGTAGGAAGAATGTTTTCTTTATACTTTTACACAATTTACCATGCATGATAACGAATATTACTACTTGTAGATTTCAAACCGGAACTGTCATAACTTAGTTTAATGTTATGTTAATTAGTTATGTTAATTCGGGGTATAAATAGTTGTTCACTATCACTTTGATCATACGATACAAAGTTCAAGCTATAGTCTCTACAATTCAAGAAGCGAACGATTTTCTACCGGACAGGCAAATTAATCTGTAAGTTTCATGTATGTATTCGTATGGTTTACTTGTTCGTATTCGTATTCATTTGGTTGTATTCGTACCGTACTAATCTTTGTAAATATTTGTTTAGTTGAACCGCTACATGATTAAAATTCTACGAGTTCAAAGTACACGTCTGGTTAAGACTGAGTCTAACACTACTAGTATTATTGTTTACAATATATAAAACAAAAATATGGTTATCAAAATTGTCGCAACACTGTAGATAGAATATCCATTGTTGCAACTGATGTATCTGAACTTCTGCTACAATACTGATTACTGTATAATTATATTGTATTTTTGCACATTTTATGAGTAATTTTATAACAAGATATTAGATTTAACGTGCGAGCAAAAATGATTACCTTCTCTAACTATTCTGACCAGGAAATAAGCAAATTTTAGCCAGTGCTACTAATAATTCGGCTCCACAAGATATTTGCGTTGCAGTATCTTATAAATAAAATTGACAACCTTTAAAATTCGTACGTTGATATTTCTTGTATGTGTGCTTTTATATATAAGTAAATATATACATATATACTATAATCTTTGTTGACTTTTCCATTTTTTGTGTATATAATCAATTGAAATAAAATTGAACAAATTTTTATTGCCAGGAAAACTCAACCAAATGGTGCCAATTATGCCATTATGAAGTCCTTAGAACGAATATAAATATCCATTATATTAAATGACGGTATTATGTAAATAAATTCGCTAAACAGATTTCAATTACTCAATATTTATAGGACGCGACTGAAAATGATATTTGCCTAACTAGCAAGGAAAAGGATGATTTGTGTCAGAAAGTTTTGGATGGATGCCCATCAGTTATTGCAGAAGCCATTTATAATATGCCTCATGTGAAAAGATGTATTAAAACGCTTGTTTTGAAAAGCGTCAACGAACAGTGTAAAAATCTTTGTGTGAAAACGAAAGGAATACCATCAGTAATGCGGGTAACAAGGAAAAGCCAAAGGGATCTCAAGTCGTTTAAGTGGATTGATGTTCTACGGGAATTAAAAGACAGATCTCCAGATATCCTGGAATTTCTACTCACAATTGCAGTCCCGTCTAAATTGAAATGCACCTGGCAACAGATTCCTCCAGTTTGTACAGCGTTTGGAATCTTGATGAATCAAAGATGTCGTGAACTGTCGTTGATTCAAAAGATAAATACTGTAATACTTGGATCAAGTAATGCAACAAAAAAGGTAGCAATCAAACTATGTAATCCTTTCGGCACATATCAATATCCGTTTCCTGATTCTACAACATTTTGCAGCCAAACTTTCAATTCCAAATTGTCTATTTGCATTTTGCGGGACAAATTATAAAAAAATTATGTACGCATAAACAATGCATGTTAATTTCATTTGGCAATTTTATACGGTATACTAACCGCATTTGCAGTTTAATAGTTGTATTTACAATACACCTGTATATGTTAAATGGAAGTTTCATTTTCACAAACTCTTATGGAAACCATCAAAACCAATTACCCAACTACTTTATATAAGATTAATGCAAAACGTTGTGGTATCCTAGATCTGTGATACATTCATAACATGCATTGGTGGTCAACCAAGTTTGTTTTAGGGCTTTTAGGGGGTGCTGGTTGAGCCCCAAGTGCATGAAACCTGTAAAATCTTGCACTGTTCAGCAACATGCTGTCATAAAGGTGCATCTAGTAATATCTTGGTAACAATTTAGTACAATTAAAAAACTTAAAAGCAGTATATAATCTTTTTGGGACCTGTCTTGGACCCCTATTGACTAATGTCTACATGGGTGCACACCCACACCCAATAGATTGAATCTACACTTTGTTGTAATGATCACTTACTTCAAACATTAATTGTGCTAAGTCATATAGACTCTGATTAGTAATATTGTTTTGCTAACTACCCTCATGATAAATCTTGTTTTATATTGACCTCATAGACATTCCAGAGATTTAATAAACTTGGAATAACCCAGACCAGAAAAAGCTTTGTGAATCTTATGGATGATGTTGGTGGAAATTTAATTGATGATTTGAAGAAATTTGTGAGCAATGAGGGTGAAATGAGAATTGTATTTGACAATTTTGATTTTAAGGTCCTTGCAAATATCATCCTACGTAATCACTGTAATTCTGACATGCATTGGATTGGCCATTATGTCACATTTGATCGCATACCATCGGATCACTTAGATGATACAAAGCCACTGGTGTCTGATATCAATAAGTTCAAGAAAATGAACTATCTGTTGAATGAGGATGAGCTTCAAATGATGAATTCTGACTTCACAACACTTGTGACAAGAGTTTTGGTAGAATATATCCCTTGCCTCCAGCACCTTAATTCAAGTGTTTGTCAACATATCCCTCACAAGTGAGTTTAAAAGTAGCTAGTATATTTCTTTTATGTATATTTAGGAATATAGTGAGTGCATTTTGTTACAGCAAGATACACTCTTGATACATCACATGCCTCCTTTTAGCCTGAAAGCCTCATTCTAGTGTTTCAAGATTTGGCTCATGAATCATGAGTGTAAAATTCCCAGGCGGGACACAACAATTGTATGATATGTAATTGCTGAAAAGGTCTGGGTATTGAAACTTTCAGATATTCTAATGGCAAAACAATCGGTTGTTGTTGGCCTACCAATTGTACCGTTCAACCAATCAAAACATTCAGATGTGTGTCAGTACTTAGATTATGTGGAAGATTTACTGGCAAAAATATTTGGCAATGATGAATATTCTACATGTTTGCCTTCCCAGAAAGCAGCCAAAAAGAATGACATTGTGAAGCAAGTGAAAGTTCCACTCTGTGGGGATCTTTTGGGATGTGAAAGGGTAACTGGTGCAAAAAAAACAAGACTGGGGTGTGACAATGAAAGTGAACGGTTTGAAAACATCATTGAAAATGCTGCACAATGGCATCCAAAGCAATCATTTCTAGCAGTATGTTTTCATGCAATACTGTAATTGCTTATAGTGTATTAATTGTATATTCACCAACTTTACTAAAGTTATGAACAGAAAATGTCTGGCAATGCCAGCAGCACTGTCACCAGGAAATTTATGACAATTAGCTAGTCTTCACAGAAAATATTTGTCAATTTATCAATACAAACAACAGATAATTAGCTTTATCATATATGAAATTATTTTATTCAGAAACTTTAATTCTGACTGGTGATATAACACGGGAAATTGTTATTTTATGTGTATTAACAGTTATATGTGCATTTTCTAGCTCATATGGAAACAACTGTACAAGGCAACTGGATCTTGTGGACGAGAGGTTGGGACGTTATACAATCTTCAACAACAGTTCAATATGGTAAATGTTTATACTAAGGTTAAAAAGAATTACCGCAGTGCTGAGCATTTAATGCTGTCTGCAACCAAAGCATACATATGTTGTGCTTTCATGCAATGGTGTGGCATGAAGAGATTGGAAGACACCCCACAAGGTATAAGCATTCCCACCAAAGATGACACAAATGAAGTTATTGAAGCATTTATCAGAGAAACTATTGGCTCATTTGTGAAAGAGTATGTTTTGGTTGAGTTTGATACAGAAAAAAAGCTACGACACCAGCTGCAAGCAGTAAAAGATAAAAGAAAGAATGCGAATGAGTTACAAACACCCGACAGCCAAACAGTCAATGGTGGTGGTTTATATATAGCTACATTTGTTCCAGGTATGTAAAACACCAACAATATTTTGTTGCAATTTTCAGCCCCAGATTTATATGGATGACTAAATATGAGTACAGATCTGAAAATCATCAGTGTTAACAGGCTTTAATTTCACATGACAATTTTATGTGTGCTTTTATTACATAACTTGATTTACAACAATAAGCAAGCATTGATTACTGTATGGATCACATAAAGAATTTTTTTTTTAAATTTTTATTTTCCCATGTACATTACAAATATTAATATTAATACATTATTACAATATAGATATTTGGGCTAGAGACCTACTAGAAACCTTAGCAGGCTTTTGTAACTAGGCCACTAGTTGTGTTCTTTTTAGATTACTTTGGTATTTACAGTAATTATTAAATGAAGATTATCAGGCAGAAGAAAAGTTTTTTACGGTATATAGAAGATATTTACAAATTTGAAGTGAAATACTGTAGTGTTTACGATATTAAGATAAAGAGATAAAGAGTTAGCATAAATTTGTACAATCAAAATTGATCGGACATTGCTGTTTAACGAAACTGTGATTTCTGAAACTATGTATATGCAACTGAATTTAGCAGAAAGTGTTTCTTAATTAATTTCTTGAAGGTATTATAGAAACGTATGTCTTTCAGATTAGCTTCTAATCTGTTCCACACATCAACTCCTTTATTTGAAAGAGTGTGTTTTACATAATTTGTTCTCTTATAACATTTAAAAAGTTTTGTTGCGTTTCTTGTATTATGTAGATGAATTTGGTTGTTTGTAACGAAGTAGTTAGTGAAATATTCTGGTAAATTATTAAGATGATGATATCGATGCATAAACAAAGCAGTTAGGTAATTGTTGATCAAAGTACACGTCTGGTTAAGACTGAGTCTAACATTGTTCAAAGATTAACTAAAACTTTATATCTATCAATTTGGAACCGTCGATTGACAAATTATGCTATCACAGAGCGAAGGATCGCCAAACCAAGAAACAACTAGTTTTGTCGAAGAATCAAGCGAATTTCGGCGATTGAGGCGTTGCCGCTCGGCTGCAAAGGCGAACATAACAAAGAAGATTAAAGAGCTCACTGAATTGATAGGTAATTGTCAAATTAAAGACGACGCTTTAGCGAAGATAAAGGAATTTGAAGACGTGGCAAGTAAATTCTACACAGCTCATGCCAATTATCATGACATAATTGGCGACGAGTATGATATCCGAGACTCCGAAGAGTATTTGCAAACAGAAACAAGGCGAATCGAGAATTTTTCACGAACTCTGAGCGAGTGGATTTCGCGTTTTGAAGACGAAGTATCAAAGGCGGATCAAGAAGTTAGACCGGGTGATTCAATAAGCAATATTGGACCCTCGCACCGCGATAAAACACGTTCGCTAGCTAGCTCACGTTCGAGAACAGGTTCGTCTACCCTGAGCGCCAGACTAGCGGCAAGAGCGAAGAAGGCCTCATTGGAAGCAGAAAAGGCAGAACTAGCTAAACAACAAGCTCTACAAAAGGAAGAGCTTCTTTTCAGACAAAAACAACGCCAACAAGAGGAAGAGAAGTTACGATTGGAACAAAGAAAATATGAACTGAAGCTCGACACAGAATTAGCAAAAGCTGAAGCAGAAGAAAGAGTATATGCTGAAGCACTTCATAGCGAAAATCAACCTATGGCAACACAATTTACACCCACAATGGCGAAGCAAGCCGGAGTGAAGCTAGAGAATAAATACGCTCTCGGGCAACAAGCCAAATCAATGCCTAATTCCACACCTTGGTTAAAGTCTACGGAGCAAGCCTTCAACTCTGAGAAAAGAATACAGCCGACTAGAAAGAATGTTGCTACTACAAACCAAGGCCAAACAGAGAAGGGTGATACAGATTCGGACGTAGCAGAGGAATTCTTATACAACGTCGCAGAGATACAGCGACAACAACAGCAACAAATGCATCAGATGTTCGACATGCAACAGTCACGAGACCAGCAATTACATCGGTTACTCGATCAGCACCAAAGGTCGACCTTGGCTATGACCCTGCCTAACGTTCAGGTTCCAACCTTTGCTGGAAATCCAATCGAGTATTGTCACTTTGTACGATCTTTCGAGAACCTGATCGAAGCAAAGACAACAAGCGCCAGTGCAAGACTATTCTATATGGTCCAATATACGAAAGGTGAGGTGCAAGAGCTTGTTCGAAGTTGCTTAACTATGGATCCAGAAGAAGGATATCTTAAGGCAAAGAAGCTTCTGAAAGACAACTACGGACAAAACTACAAGATTGCGGCTGCATACGTGGACCGGATCACCCAAGCATCGCCAATTAAAGCAGAAAATGGCGTAGGCTTACAGAAGTACTCCGTGCTACTGGCTAGTTGCAGAAATACCTTGAAGGAGATCGGATACATTAGCAGAGTGGAAAATCCTGAAAGTTTGGTTAAACTAATTGGGAAGCTACCCTTTTCTCTGAGACAGAGATGGCGAGAAGTTGCCGATAACATCACTACCCAGAAATCAAGAGAGATAACCTTTGATGATGTTGTTGAGTTTGTTCAAGCAAGGTCGAGAGTTCAGAACCACCCAATCTTCGGAAAATTGAACAACGACTCACGAAGTAGACCAAGTGAACCTTTAGGTTCTAGGGGCAGACTGAACTTTCAAATTGATGGTAAGCTAGGTGATGAAGGAAAAAAGGAATCAAAACCCTACAAATGTTCCATGTGTAATGAAGACCATATTCTGCCACGATGTATTCATTTTAAGAAAGAGTCCCTAGTGGGTCGTCTTAAGTTTGTTCGCAAAAGAGGACTATGTGACAACTGCTTGTTTCAAGGACATGTCGCAAAGTCCTGTCCAAAGCCCAGTTTCTGTAAGGTAGCCGGCTGTCAGAGAACTTAGTGGAACTTCCTACTGTTTTCTCGACCGAACGGTTACCTGTCGATAGATCTAGCATTCCGCTTCAAAAGGATGTTGACAGATGGCCTCATCTCAGAAACGTAAACGTACAGGAAATCGATGCCGCCGTTGGCTTACTAATCGGGAATGATGTACCAAAGGCATTGGAACCGAAGGAAGTCAGAGAGAGCAGTGGCGCAGGACCGTACGCCGTGAGAACAGTTTTCGGTTGGACGATAAATGGCCCGCTTGGAAGAAATAAAACGGCTCGTCGTTGCGCGAACTTCATTCGATCTGATTATGACCTAAATGAACAGTTTCAAACGTTCTGCAATATGGAGTTCAACGACTCTGTATATGACACAAAACTGGAGATGTCGGTAGAGGATTCTCGTGCTCTTGGCATGATGGAAGGCTCGGTTCAGCTAAAGGACGGACACTATGAAGTGGCTTTACCATGGAAAAATTTCCCGCCACGTCTGCCAACAATCGTCCATTAGCGGAACATCGCCTGAACCTTTTAAAGAAGAGGCTTCTCAAAGATCCTCAACTGCTTTCAAAGTATTCAGAATTCATGGATAACATGCTAAGCAGGAAGTATGCTCGCAAGGTCCCTGAGAGTTCGATAACCCAACCTAAGTTACCTTTATGGTACTTACCCCACCATCCCGTAATCAATTCAAATAAGCCCAGCAAAATTCGCGTGGTTTTCGATTGTGCAGCAGTTTTCCGCGGGACGTCACTCAATAGTCAACTATTACAAGGTCCAGATCTAACAAACAGTCTTGTTGGAGTTTTAATTCGCTTCCGAACGGATCCTGTGGCCTTGATGGCGGATATAGAGGCTATGTTCCACCAAGTCCGCGTTACACCAAGCGACTATGACGCATTACGATTCCTCTGGTGGCACCAAAATGATCTTGATAAAGAACCCCAAGAATTCCAGATGATGGTTCACCTTTTCGGCGCAACGTCCTCCCCGAGTTGTGCGAATTTTGCACTCCGAAGAACCGCCGAAGACAACTCAGACGACTTTGGTGCTGAGATATCAGATATAGTAAAACGGAACTTCTATGTGGACGACTGTTTAAAGTCTGTTAAAGATGACGAAGTGGGCATCAAAACGGTGAGCTGTTTGACCCAGTTGCTAGCCCGGGGAGGATTCCACTTGACGAAATGGGTTTCAAATTCAGCAAGAGTGATTGCGTCGGTGCCTGAAGATGAAAGATCTGGATCTGTAAAGGCTTTGTGTTTTGGCCAACCAACGGTTGAACGAGCACTAGGAGTTAAATGGGATGTCGCGAGCGATCAGTTTGGATTCAAAGTAATCATCAATGAGAAGCCATCAACTCGAAGAGGGATACTTTCAGTAATCAGTTCAGTCTATGACCCTCTTGGGTTCACAGCCCCATTTATTCTTCCCGTGAAGATATTGATGCAACATCTGTGTCGACGAAAGTTGGGATGGGATGACCTAATTGAGCCCGACGATATGGCACGCTGGAACACTTGGTTGAAGGAATTGCCAAAGATCGAACAGCTTCGCGTCCCAAGATGTATCAAATCCTACTACGTCAATCCAATAGTTCAGACGCAGTTACACAGTTTCGCAGACGCTTCGCGACGTGGATATGGGGCAGCGAGTTATTTGCGCTTTGAAGATTCGAAAGGTAACATCCACTGTTCGTTCGTGATGGCTAAGTCAAGAGTGGCTCCTCTAAAGGAAACAACCATTCCACGACTGGAATTATCCGCTGCTGTGGTTGCGACAAGACTCGACAAGATGATACGAAACGAAATCGATATTGAAATCCATGCCTCCATCTTTTGGACAGACAGCACCTGTGTTCTGGGGTATCTGAATAACACAAGCAAGAGATTCCAGACATTTGTTGCGAACAGAGTTGCCACCATTCATGAAACAACCACGCCTGAGCAATGGAGACACGTGACCAGTGAAGAGAACCCGGCTGATGACGCCTCACGAGGATTATCTGCAGATTCCTTGTTACGCAGTAATCGTTGGTTGAATGGTCCCGAATTTTTATGGAAACCAGAGAATTATTGGCCATGTCAAATCAACCTGGCCGTTGCAGTCAGCGATGACGACCCAGAAGTCAAGAAGAATGCCCAAGCCTTCTCTATTGAAGATAGTTCACACGCCACAGTTGAAGGAATTATCGAGAGATTTTCGTCATGGGAGAAGCTGAAAAGATTCGTTTCATGGATACTTCGATATCGTGCCAATTTATCGAAGGCTGTCATGAGAGCTAAGACTAACAGAAACTCGGATATTTCGACTCCAGACTTCAGACCACTCGACCTGGATGAAATGCAGCATGCAGAAAAGGAAATTTTAAAATATATTCAAGGAAGAAGCTTTCAAGAGGAGTTAGCTCGTCTTAACTCCGTTGATGACCAGTCAGCAAAGTCGTTGAAAGGCCAAGTTAAGAAAAGTCCCATCTACAAACTTGACCCTCGGTTGAAGGATCAACTCTTGCGAGTCGGAGGACGCCTAACGAATGCCCCCATCTCGGAGGAACGGAAACACCCCATCATCCTACCAAAGAATTGTCACATTTCCACCTTGATTGCAAGGTATTACCACCGGTTAGCGGGGCACAGTGGTTTAGAACATGTTCTGTCCTTGATCAGAGCACGCTACTGGATGATCGGAGCGAGGAAGACCTTAAAAAAGATGCTAAACAGCTGTGTGGATTGCAAAAGAAGACAAGCAGCAGCAGGTGAACAAAAAATGGCGGACCTCCCAGAGCATCGAGTCACGCCAGATAAGCCGCCGTTTACCTTCGTTGGGGTGGACTGCTTTGGTCCATTTGTTGTGAAAAGAGCACGTAGCCTGGTGAAGAGATATGCCGTTTTATTCACTTGCTTAACCATCCGAGCTGTTCACATTGAAGTGGTGCAAAGCCTCGATACCAGTTCGTTTCTCAACGCATTGCGTAGATTCATCGCCAGAAGGGGACAACCTGAAGTCATTAGATCTGACAATGGCACTAATTTTGTCGGCGGAGAAAGAGAAATTCACAGTGCAATCGATGATTGGAACCAACAGAAAATTCAACGATTCCTCCTGCAGCAAAACGTCAAGTGGATCTTTAATCCTCCCTCAGGATCTCACCATGGTGGAGTTTGGGAGCGCTGCATCCGAACTGCCCGTAAAATATTGTTGGCCCTTTTAAAGCAACAGACTGTGGATGATGAATGCCTTACAACTGTTATGTGCGAGGTTGAATCCATTATGGACAGCAGACCATTGACAAAGGTATCTGACGACCCAAATGACCTAGAAGCCTTGACGCCAAATCATTTGCTTCTTTTACGCCCGGGACCATCGCTACCCCCAGGAGTTTTCCAAGAAGCTGATTTGTATTGTAAACGTCGATGGAGACAAGCTCAATATCTCTCGGATGTTTTTGGCGCCGCTGGCTGAGGGAATACTTGCCAGAATTGCAACGCCGTCAGAAATGGGTTAATGCTCGTCGCAATTTTTCTGTAGGTGATATTGTTTTGCTCGTTGACGAAAATACACCAAGATCGTCGTGGTTGCTTGGTCGAATCACGAGAGTGAAACCGAATTCGAGAGACGGCTTCGTGAGAAGAGTAGTTTTAAGAACGAAACTTAACACCCTGGAACGCCCTGTGGACAAGATTGTCCTCTTGGAAGCATCAGAATGCACTTGATTGTTGAAGAGGACATCGTCATGTCGATTGGTTATTGATTACGGTTAAAATCTTTATATACTGTTTAAATGTCGCCTTATACAACATTTCGGGGCCGGAATGTAGATTTCAAACCGGAACTGTCATAACTTAGTTTAATGTTATGTTAATTAGTTATGTTAATTCGGGGTATAAATAGTTGTTCACTATCACTTTGATCATACGATACAAAGTTCAAGCTATAGTCTCTACAATTCAAGAAGCGAACGATTTTCTACCGGACAGGCAAATTAATCTGTAAGTTTCATGTATGTATTCGTATGGTTTACTTGTTCGTATTCGTATTCATTTGGTTGTATTCGTACCGTACTAATCTTTGTAAATATTTGTTTAGTTGAACCGCTACATGATTAAAATTCTACGAGTTCAAAGTACACGTCTGGTTAAGACTGAGTCTAACACTACTAGTATTATTGTTTACAATATATAAAACAAAAATATGGTTATCAAAATTGTCGCAACACTGTAGATAGAATATCCATTGTTGCAACTGATGTATCTGAACTTCTGCTACAATACTGATTACTGTATAATTATATTGTATTTTTTGCACATTTTATGAGTAATTTTATAACAAGATATTAGATTTAACGTGCGAGCAAAAATGATTACCTTCTCTAACTATTCTGACCAGGAAATAAGCAAATTTTAGCCAGTGCTACTAATAATTCGGCTCCACAAGATATTTGCGTTGCAGTATCTTATAAATAAAATTGACAACCTTTAAAATTCGTACGTTGATATTTCTTGTATGTGTGCTTTTATATATAAGTAAATATATACATATATACTATAATCTTTGTTGACTTTTCCATTTTTTGTGTTATATAATCAATTGAAATAAAATTGAACAAATTTTTATTGCCAGGAAAACTCAACCAAATGGTGCCAATTATGCCATTATGAAGTCCTTAGAACGAATATAAATATCCATTATATTAAATGACGGTATTATGTAAATAAATTCGCTAAACAGATTTCAATTACTCAATATTTATAGGACGCGACTGAAAATGATATTTGCCTAACTAGCAAGGAAAAGGATGATTTGTGTCAGAAAGTTTTGGATGGATGCCCATCAGTTATTGCAGAAGCCATTTATAATATGCCTCATGTGAAAAGATGTATTAAAACGCTTGTTTTGAAAAGCGTCAACGAACAGTGTAAAAATCTTTGTGTGAAAACGAAAGGAATACCATCAGTAATGCGGGTAACAAGGAAAAGCCAAAGGGATCTCAAGTCGTTTAAGTGGATTGATGTTCTACGGGAATTAAAAGACAGATCTCCAGATATCCTGGAATTTCTACTCACAATTGCAGTCCCGTCTAAATTGAAATGCACCTGGCAACAGATTCCTCCAGTTTGTACAGCGTTTGGAATCTTGATGAATCAAAGATGTCGTGAACTGTCGTTGATTCAAAAGATAAATACTGTAATACTTGGATCAAGTAATGCAACAAAAAAGGTAGCAATCAAACTATGTAATCCTTTCGGCACATATCAATATCCGTTTCCTGATTCTACAACATTTTGCAGCCAAACTTTCAATTCCAAATTGTCTATTTGCATTTTGCGGGACAAATTATAAAAAAATTATGTACGCATAAACAATGCATGTTAATTTCATTTGGCAATTTTATACGGTATACTAACCGCATTTGCAGTTTAATAGTTGTATTTACAATACACCTGTATATGTTAAATGGAAGTTTCATTTTCACAAACTCTTATGGAAACCATCAAAACCAATTACCCAACTACTTTATATAAGATTAATGCAAAACGTTGTGGTATCCTAGATCTGTGATACATTCATAACATGCATTGGTGGTCAACCAAGTTTGTTTTAGGGCTTTTAGGGGGTGCTGGTTGAGCCCCAAGTGCATGAAACCTGTAAAATCTTGCACTGTTCAGCAACATGCTGTCATAAAGGTGCATCTAGTAATATCTTGGTAACAATTTAGTACAATTAAAAAACTTAAAAGCAGTATATAATCTTTTTGGGACCTGTCTTGGACCCCTATTGACTAATGTCTACATGGGTGCACACCCACACCCAATAGATTGAATCTACACTTTGTTGTAATGATCACTTACTTCAAACATTAATTGTGCTAAGTCATATAGACTCTGATTAGTAATATTGTTTTGCTAACTACCCTCATGATAAATCTTGTTTTATATTGACCTCATAGACATTCCAGAGATTTAATAAACTTGGAATAACCCAGACCAGAAAAAGCTTTGTGAATCTTATGGATGATGTTGGTGGAAATTTAATTGATGATTTGAAGAAATTTGTGAGCAATGAGGGTGAAATGAGAATTGTATTTGACAATTTTGATTTTAAGGTCCTTGCAAATATCATCCTACGTAATCACTGTAATTCTGACATGCATTGGATTGGCCATTATGTCACATTTGATCGCATACCATCGGATCACTTAGATGATACAAAGCCACTGGTGTCTGATATCAATAAGTTCAAGAAAATGAACTATCTGTTGAATGAGGATGAGCTTCAAATGATGAATTCTGACTTCACAACACTTGTGACAAGAGTTTTGGTAGAATATATCCCTTGCCTCCAGCACCTTAATTCAAGTGTTTGTCAACATATCCCTCACAAGTGAGTTTAAAAGTAGCTAGTATATTTCTTTTATGTATATTTAGGAATATAGTGAGTGCATTTTGTTACAGCAAGATACACTCTTGATACATCACATGCCTCCTTTTAGCCTGAAAGCCTCATTCTAGTGTTTCAAGATTTGGCTCATGAATCATGAGTGTAAAATTCCCAGGCGGGACACAACAATTGTATGATATGTAATTGCTGAAAAGGTCTGGGTATTGAAACTTTCAGATATTCTAATGGCAAAACAATCGGTTGTTGTTGGCCTACCAATTGTACCGTTCAACCAATCAAAACATTCAGATGTGTGTCAGTACTTAGATTATGTGGAAGATTTACTGGCAAAAATATTTGGCAATGATGAATATTCTACATGTTTGCCTTCCCAGAAAGCAGCCAAAAAGAATGACATTGTGAAGCAAGTGAAAGTTCCACTCTGTGGGGATCTTTTGGGATGTGAAAGGGTAACTGGTGCAAAAAAAACAAGACTGGGGTGTGACAATGAAAGTGAACGGTTTGAAAACATCATTGAAAATGCTGCACAATGGCATCCAAAGCAATCATTTCTAGCAGTATGTTTTCATGCAATACTGTAATTGCTTATAGTGTAATTGTATATTCACCAACTTTACTAAAGTTATGAACAGAAAATGTCTGGCAATGCCAGCAGCACTGTCACCAGGAAATTTATGACAATTAGCTAGTCTTCACAGAAAATATTTGTCAATTTATCAATACAAACAACAGATAATTAGCTTTATCATATATGAAATTATTTTATTCAGAAACTTTAATTCTGACTGGTGATATACACGGGAAATTGTTATTTTATGTGTATTAACAGTTATATGTGCATTTTCTAGCTCATATGGAAACAACTGTACAAGGCAACTGGATCTTGTGGACGAGAGGTTGGGACGTTATACAATCTTCAACAACAGTTCAATATGGTAAATGTTTATACTAAGGTTAAAAAGAATTACCGCAGTGCTGAGCATTTAATGCTGTCTGCAACCAAAGCATACATATGTTGTGCTTTCATGCAATGGTGTGGCATGAAGAGATTGGAAGACACCCCACAAGGTATAGCATTCCCACCAAAGATGACACAAATGAAGTTATTGAAGCATTTATCAGAGAAACTATTGGCTCATTTGTGAAAGAGTATGTTTTGGTTGAGTTTGATACAGAAAAAAAGCTACGACACCAGCTGCAAGCAGTAAAAGATAAAAGAAAGAATGCGAATGAGTTACAAACACCCGACAGCCAAACAGTCAATGGTGGTGGTTTATATATAGCTACATTTGTTCCAGGTATGTAAAACACCAACAATATTTTGTTGCAATTTTCAGCCCCAGATTTATATGGATGACTAAATATGAGTACAGATCTGAAAATCATCAGTGTTAACAGGCTTTAATTTCACATGACAATTTTATGTGTGCTTTTATTACATAACTTGATTTACAACAATAAGCAAGCATTGATTACTGTATGGATCACATAAAGAATTTTTTTTTAAAATTTTATTTTCCCCATGTACATTACAAATATTAATATAATACATTATTACAATATAGATATTTGGGCTAGAGACCTACTAGAAACCTTAGCAGGCTTTTGTAACTAGGCCACTAGTTGTGTTCTTTTTAGATTACTTTGGTATTTACAGTAATTATTAAATGAAGATTATCAGGCAGAAGAAAAGTTTTTTACGGTATATAGAAGATATTTACAAATTTGAAGTGAAATACTGTAGTGTTTACGATATTAAGATAAAGAGATAAAGAGTTAGCATAAATTTGTACAATCAAAATTGATCGGACATTGCTGTTTAACGAAACTGTGATTTCTGAAACTATGTATATGCAACTGAATTTAGCAGAAAGTGTTTCTTAATTAATTTCTGGAAGGTATTATAGAAACGTATGTCTTTCAGATTAGCTTCTAATCTGTTCCACACATCAACTCCTTTATTTGAAAGAGTGTGTTTTACATAATTTGTTCTCTTATAACATTTAATAAGTTTTGTTGCGTTTCTTGTATTATGTAGATGAATTTGGTTGTTTGTAACGAAG